GAATTCCAAGACGATTTTCTAAAAGTCTGTTGGCATATTTGCACACACTAAAGCAAAAAGCTTGCTTCATCTTCCTAAATCTATTACTGTGACTACTGCGACCTACTAATGTGATCTAACCCTCAGTTATTTAAAAACAATAGACTACAAATGAAAATTCTCTTTGAGCACAGAACACAGTCATCCAAGGAAATAACTCTCATTTCTGCCAGCTGATCTTGAGACAGGGAAGTGCTCCAAAATTACTAACATCATCCAGCCTTCTGGGAAGCAACTGCATTGGATCAGTTAAAGCAAAATAAGTGTTCACCGCCACAAAGCAATGGCCTTTAGTAGAGAAGAACCTCTGATACTTGTTTAGCAGATTTTCTTCCCCGTGGTCCATACGAATTAAGTGGCAAACATGCCAGTATTCTCATGTGCACCAGCCAACGTCACCACAGAGAGTAAGAAGCCCTTTGATGTTGGAGCTGGTACAAAAATGCTTTTGATATAAAAACCAATGCTACAACTGATTCTATACGCATCCCTGTACGGTGTGGCAGTTTTACAACAGGAAAGCTACAGGATACAGTCTGTTATTGCTCTGTACTCCAGCTCCTGGAAAGATATGGTCCATTGAAAGCAGTGGGCTTTGCAAAGCTTTTAAGGCCAACCAGATTTTTAGATTACAGTATCTACTGTAAACCAAGTCTGTTGCAGTTATTTCTCTTCTAGAAATAGGACCATCTTACATAATAAGGATGAGTAAATAAGTTATCCATTAAATATCTATAGTTACGAAAAAAGCAACAACTCTGACCATTAACTTACTTATAACAAATATCAAGGGTCTGTTGAATTTAGGAATTCTTTTTTTTGGGGGGGGGGTTGGTTTGGGGGTTTTTTTTGTTACACAAAGCCTAATAAGGCAATTCTCAGGAAAATAAGAAGGTGTATTTCCCAAACCAGATTGTATAATTTGGCAGTTGCATCTTTCCTTTCCTTAGTGGAAAAAGCAATACTCTTACCATATGAAGTCACTTTGAAGGCATCCCAAATAAAGGACTGAAGACAGTGAGGACACTAATTTATCCTGAAGAAAGAAAAGACTACTTTATAAAAGAATGTAGACTGTGAAAATCATCCAAGAGGCAGCAGTTAAACCTTTCTTGGAACAGTTACAGCCGAGGAGAGAATGGACACCAACCACCAACTAAATATTGCATAACAGGTGATAGAGGCAAGCACCACCAAACAGAAAACTATTATAACCCATTCCAACGCAGATTTTTTCCAAACCAAGGTTTTAAAGGAAGAAGAGAGTTGTGTAACACTCATTTTTTCAAACCCTCCTTCATAAGATTCCTTATAAAGTAAGTGCAGTCAATGAGAAGACTATCAAGTGGTATAACAGTTATAGAGAGTTAGGTGACAGGTAGGGAGGAGAGGACATGAGGAGAGATTATGCTTTAGGTTACTCCAAGTAATTGTGGAGTGCTACCAATTCATGCTGAAAGCAATTCTTACAAGCTGGTTTTAGGGAAGACAGAAATAAGAGCTTATCACAAAGTTATCTAAGAGCTGTCACCACTGATGATAAAAGGCATCTACCAAAAAGAGAGCAAGCACCGTGTTGTTTGGCAGCTATCCATGATATCTGCACACCAGTGGATTTATCCAGTTGCTTTCTGAAGTTCCCCAGAACTCCTGTGAGGAAGCAGAAATCTGTACTACGTGGCTAATTTATATTTCTGGAGAAAGAAAAAAAGAAAACCCAAAAAATTTAAAGCATTCTGCAAAGGACCTTCAAACTAAAAGGGCCATTTACTGTGAAACACAGAAAACAGCCAAAACTAAACCACAAACTCCTGTTTCATAAACAATTGCAGGAAATACTAAAATCCTTCTGTAACATACTTATCGTAATTGTTTTTTATTATACGTAACTGTAACTATAAGAAGTATTTTTTTCAAAAGGTTCTGCTATGCCTAAAAACATCATCTGATTCAACAACATATATTTACAGCCCTTCTATTATCTAGTGCTTGTGCAGAAGGAATTTTTCTGGTGGGCACAGGGGAAGTTTTGGATAACACAACATTCATGTAGACTTCCATGTATTAGTAGACTACACCAATCCTACTCCTCCAGTCTGCCCACGGAGCGACAGAAGAGGATTTTGCCAACCAGGAACATACAGCCTAAAATCATGCAGAATGAGGTGGCATAGGATGAGAAATTACTCTGAGCTGACAGTGGCACTCAAGGCTACAGCTCCCCACTGTTAAAGAAACGTGGATAAAGAAACGTGAGAGAGCTCTGGCTGCACTCAGCTTTTGTTCCACGCTGAACACCACTAAGCAGCAAGCCGGTCCCGTTTCAATCACGAGTACTTCCACTGCGATTTCAGGTATTGATTTACAGAATGAGAGCCATAAACCTCAAATTATTTTAACTGGGGGGGACAGAGACGGCAACTGGGGGGGTGGTGGCAAAAGGAGAAGAAATCAAAGTAAATTCTCTCTTACTTAACTGTAATGCAACTACAGTAAAAATTTAAATTCCCTCTTAGAGCCTTTGTCACAACAACTACACTGGCATAACCACGCTGGGAGCGCCTGCTGGCAGAGACACAGCTTATGTCGACAGAAGATGCTTTTCTGCTGACATAGCAGTCCCATCATTTCAAACAATCTTTGTTCTTTCCTTTCAGAAGTGGAATTTTCTTTCAATATGCTGCTTCCTTGACCTATCTGCACTGCCACAGCTGGGCCTGCTCCACCAACTTATATGAAAAGATTCATGTAATTTCCACGTGAGGAGTTGCATTCCTCAAGTCAAAAAACTTTTCTATTTTAACTTTCTACATGTTTTTTTAAACTTCACATTCACTAAGTGTGATAAATACTAATTACTGTGACTTTAATATCAACCAACGTAGCTGATTCTGGGAATACAGATGAGGCTCAAACTTAAATATCCTTAAGAGTGGCACAACTCCTGAGGTTCTTCTAAAAAGCTTCATGAAAAAGAATTCCCTCTCAACAAATCTGTGAATTTGTTGAAGCATTATACAGATTTCAGAAGAGGAAAATGGTTAAGTAACAAAAGAAACTGATGAGCACAAGAGACGGTCCACTTTGATACTAAATTGGTTTCTTTCCCAAGCCTTCTATGCAACTTACATACCCTACTTCAAAAGATTAAAAGGTGAACTTTACCTGCTCTTACAAAAGCAATTTTTTCTTCCTTTCTAAAAAAAAAAAAAAAAAAAAGAAAAACCAAGCACTAAAATACCAGGGAAAACCCCACCTGTGTATAAATTACTGTATTTTAAAAATACAAATGAATATTCAATATAATTGCTTATACTGCCTTTTCATTATCATTGCTTGAATACTGCCTTTCCAATCACGTACCGCAAGAAGATGTACAGCAGTAACACACTGAATGCATTTTCAGTTTTTGCTGCATTAACTGGAGTTAATTACTTGAGAAAGGGACAGAGGTTGTTCATGTGCTGGGAATCTGTCCTGAGTACCGCTATTAACAGATGAGCAGAAGAGTCTGTTAAAAATATTTTAAAAATGGGAAGTTGTTTCTGATCTCATTTCCCGGCGCTGAGCTCTGTAAGGGCTTCTTTACATGGGTGCAACAGCACATACAACCTGTATGGCTGAAGTGCCTGTGCTGAATAGCCCTTCATGGAGCACTGGGAAATACAGTAGAAAGAGAACTGAGCAAACTTCATTTGCCCAGGTGCTTCTGCAGTGAGCTTTCCAGGGTAGCTCACAGTTATCAGCATTTCTAAATTTTCCCCCTAAACACCCAGAATTTGGCTATTCTTGAATTAAATGGAAATCAGTCCAGACATTTCACTTAAAACCAACAGGTTTCTAGCTGACAACTCTGATGGCAAATGTTACAACTGCATTTCAAATAACAATTGCAAAGAGGGGAAAAAAAAATAAAGATATCAAAACCACGAAGGAGTTTGGGGCTTGAATTTCGAAGTATGTTACACATTTTTGAATAGTACTTACTGGGAAAAAATACAGCACAAACAGGAAGCTCAGTTATAACTAAAATTTTTTTAATATATCTTTTTTGCCCCCTTAGAAATAATATACCATGCTTCAGGGAAGCATATTATTTACATTTGTTACATCTGAGGAAAAGAACGTACTTTAAGAACCCTAACTAGGAATCACTGGTCAACCACAATAAGCTATGATATTGAGCTGGTACATACCCTTTTCAGTAACAATGACAACAGGGTGGAGTGTTCAAAATGGTATTTATACCAACAAAAATTATTTCTTTAAAGTTTAATTTTGAAGTTCAAGATTATTGTCTGTTCTGGAAACAAAGAAAACAATTCTGCACAAGTCTGAATTCTGGAGACTTAAAAGCCCACACCCAGAAATATGGTAACATGAAGAGTGATGAGCCAGTAACTGAGAAAAATGTGTTATTTCAAATGCAGTGACTGGATGCTGATAAGCACATAATTTTTGCTGCAGTGATTTAAAAAGACAGCTCTCCTCAATTACCACTTCAACCCTCTTGGTTAGGTTAACATATCCACAGAGGAACTTGCAGAAGGGAATGGATGTCATTTCTGCTGGTCAATGCAGTAATTTAGCATTTTAACACAAACCTGTCTTTACTGCAGACATTGTTACATTTGCATGAACCGCTGCTGAAGCGGCTCACGTACAAGCACACTCACTATTCCACCAATTTAGCTGTGAGTGCCCTAGCTTCTTAAATTGTCCAAGTATGAGTCAGCTAAATTTACTACTCAGTAATTGCACAGAAATTTCAGTGTTGACATATGAAAAGACAAAGAAATAACATTTTTGCTGAATCATTTTTAAGATGGCTGGTAATTACTCACTGAAGTTTAATCCATGAGATTATGTAATCTCCATTTGTACTATTAAAGACTACGAAACATACTATTTCTTTTTGTTATTTTTAAGTAATAAGCACACAAACTGAAGAACCACCTTACCTGATAGAGTTTTGTTTCCTGTTTTCTATTTTCATTAAAATTTGTACGTCTGACTGAGGAGAAACCGTATAGATTTTTAATCTGAAAAAAGAAGAATATGCAACAGAGATGAAGAAACAATGATGTACAATGACTTTTATTCTTATCATCTGTAAAAGATGGATCTCTTTTGCATGTCAACAGTCAAAAGTATGTATTTCTTCATAAAGACAATAATTTGCCACATACTAAGTATTTCAATAAATGAGGGCTATAATTACCAGTACGTTTTTCTAATTACTCCAAAGGAAAGGTTCACCATCACCCTCACTGAGGTTAATTATGGTTACATTTTTTAGAATTAGAGTTGCTTTATTTGATCTTTATGCCACAAGTCAATTTCTTTATCTTTTCCTGGTTTAAATTTGGTGGCTACACTCCAGGGTCAGTTAGGTGGCGAACGTTAGGATGGTTTTCATCACAGGAATTAGAGATGTACTGCTGACTGGGAACTCAGCTCTGCATATTGAAAGTGCAGCTAAGTTTAAGCCATTTATTCAGAACCATTCCCTTGTTTTATTAGTGCATTAGATGAACTAGGCAGAAAAGTTATTCAATACACACCTTTGACAAACTACAGGGTCTGACTCCACTGGATCAATGTACGGCTTAAGGATATCAGCAAGTGTTTTATCGTCAGGCACCCTTTCACCAAAGATAAAAATTGAATACATAAGACATGGTTCATCATGTAAACAAAAATCTATTATCTGAGTCATTTGGAGGAAGCTGTATATTTGCATGCTACAGTGGCACAACTGAGTAGTTTATGGGAAAATCATAAGTGTGTATCAATACAGCATAGGTAATTGACAGATTTATCTCAATTTCAACACTGGGACTTCACTGGCATCTACAAGGAGTAAACAGATGCTTATCTCTAGTTTCTAACCCTGCAGCAGAAACATGCTGTTCCTACAGCCCTAGAAGTAGACAAGGGCATACTTCTCATCCCCCTTCAGGCTAGGAAAAAAGGAGAAAGATTTGTCAACAAAAGCTTATTTTTTGGCCTTTGCAAAATGCGCTTGTGGGATTTCCTACAGAGCAAACAATGCAACCATTTCATCCTGTAAGAAGGTCAGTTCCAGTGTGCAGGCGAGGAGGGATGGCAAATCTTGCTGAACGTCTGCTCCATGAGAACAGAATATATTAGGTGTACAGGATATCGCTATCACGAATATACAAGCTGCTCTGTTTACATAGAGAAAAGGACTAGCAATCAAACATTTTGCCTAATTTGAAAAGCCTGCTAGCTTTCAAAGAAGAAAGGACTACACAACTTTAAGGGTTTTGGGTTTTTTTTTTCCAATTTAAATGTCCTTTTAATTAAGACTAAAAATAATATTCGAGTTTACCTTGTATAATAGAAATAGTTAAGAACTGATCAAAATATTTTGCAGTTCAATTTCAGCAGACTAATTTAAACTTTATAAAAATCTATTTTTCAAGCTCTGTACCCTTTTAAAGTGTATTCAGCATGACAGTGAGGAAATACGAGCTTCAAATGCCAGTAGAACTTTTTCTCCCTGAAAAGAAAAAGAAATGCATATTCTTAATGGTAGCTGGTAACTACTACTTGTTTTTTCTATAATAAATCTTGGTAGCCTATGACATGGGTGCAGAAGAAAATATATAGTCAATATTTTGAATTGCATTTTCAAACAGTAAAAGGGGCACGCAGAGAACCTGAGAGGCGCTTTGAAAGATGCACTGCTCCCAGATCCTCCTGAATTTCAAGTCCTCATGGGTTAAAAATCTGTTCCTTACAAATACAGGTAAGATATCACCAATTAACTGATCAACAGCATTTCACATTTTAAAAGGGAGTTATCTTCCAGCTGACTTTCTATATGTATAGGAAAGGATTTTAATCAGGGCAGATATTAAAGCTGCCCTTTAATTTCAGAAAAGGAAAATGCTTTTTGGCGTATCACCCAGGACAGGTTGCCAAACCTGTGCAACAATAATAGCCAGAGGTCCCAGCTGAGGCCAGGTTCTACATAAAACAGGGGACTCGACTTTTCACAGCAGTGATCGCCTAAATAGAAAACGTGTCATGGGCAGGGAGGGAAGCTGCATTTTGGCCTAACATGGGTAACAGAAGTTAGAAAGACTAAGTGTTTTGCAGGAAGATGAGGAAGCTTTTGGTAGAGACCAAAATTGATGTCATGTTCCCTTCTCCAGTTTGTTAGTTTTAAGACCCATCTTCCCTTTCCAACTAGCATAATTAATACCTGAGAATAGAAGCTACTGAAGCATGGTTCCAGTGCAGTATCATCTTAAGAAAGGCAGTATTACCTAGAGGATATTTCGCTAGATTAGGAAATCTCCTTTTGCCTTTTTACTCATCTGCAGAAATGCTGCTGAAGTCGATACTGACTTAAGACAAAGCATTTTTCCTCTCACTGCTCCAAATTCTCCCATTTGTTATGGTGAATGTAACAATATTTTTCTAAAAGAAATCTCCTGAGAAAAAGCACAGTCTAAAAGGTAGGTGCATGGCCCTTTGCTCTGGTTCAGAATTTTACACTCATGACAAACAGTAAAGATTTGGAAGAGGAAAGAGGGAACTACTACCATTTAGAAATCAGAGGCCAGACGTCTGTGTGAAGCACAGGAACATCTAATGGTACTCCCACCCTTTTTTTTTTATTTTTTTTTTTTTTTTTTTTTAAAATAAGACCTATGAATCATTATATCCAGGATAATCACCATCAGTTATGCAAAGATTCTGGTACTACAATTAAAAGTAAACACAGTGTTGTTCCAACATGTTAACTTGTTTATCAGGCAGATGAAACATTATCCAGCAGGTTCTAGCTGGCTGCAGAAACAAGTATACGTGCATCCAGTAGCAAAACAGAAAACAAATTAGCTGCTAAGTTCAATTAACTAGGATACCAATTTTTAAATGCAAGCACATTATAAAAAGTGATCTTATCAAATAAATAATCATTCCCTTATCTAGTTATTCCTAGGAGAAAACTGAGCTTTACAGCTGAACTATACTGCCTGTAGTATAAGTAAAATCAGAAGTGTTAGAAGCTGACATAGTAGCTTGCCTCATGAATTTTATGCTATTTTGCATATTGGTATGATACTGTCTTAAATTACCAAACTGAAAAAGGTTTTGAAATAACTCAAAATCAGTGAGTGGAATTTTGGAAGTTTTTTGCAAGATGAGTGAAACAAGGTTTTGCAGTTCTTCATCTTGACAGCTGAAGGAAGCATCAGCGCTACCGTATGCACAGAACAAACTGGAGTATCAACAGGGTTATGGAAGCAGTTCAATTGACTTGCGATTAACAAGCTGGTGATTCCTCTCTCAGACGTGTTAATATCTGGCATTTAACATGGCAAGGTATTAATTCAAAGCACCTTCTCAAGGAGACTTTAGTAAAAGTTGGTAATCTTTAGACATAGAAATAGGGTCACCATCATTAGCTGCAGGAAACATTAATGATGGGCACATTTATTAAAATACTTACAAGGACTGTTCAGATGCAGTTTTTGTTGTATGTTATCAACTAAAATGAGGCTTTCTAGCATTTTTTCATTTAACTCATCATATTCCACAAGTTATTTCAAACAGGCCATGTTTATCTACTCTAAGTGACCAACCCTTCCTGTGATACGGACTTTATTTCTGTCAAATTTTCAAACCAAGACAGCCAAAGCAATGGGAGTACTGCAGATCTTCCTCTCCCAAGAGGAAACAGACAAACCACGACAGAGCTCACAGAAACATGTATGTGGCCTAGAGGGCTGTCTCTAACACAGGCACTTGAAAAAGAAACGTTCCAGAAGTACTTCTAGCTATCTGCTACCTGTTGTTAGGAGTTCTCTTTATGTGTCTGCAGAAATGGTCGTCACACAGCACATTCTGATTTCACATGCAAGACCAGTTCCCTGTGGGCTCACTGAGGCAGACTCAGCTCATCACTGCAGCTGTATAATCAGCTTAAGAGGGATCTTTTCAGACTTTCGCCCTCCCTCCCCCTTCCATGCACAATCTGCTCTATGGAATAGTGCACAGAAAAGCTATGAATCAGGGAGCCTGAACACTGAAGCTAAAAAGATCATTCCTTGTCAAAAAGTTTCACTTTGGAAAAAAAAGAAATGTTGATTTTTTTTTCAATGTGCTAACACTGAAACTGCAGCTAATTACTTCATCTCTCTTCCAAGTACTCTTGCCTGAAAGTAAATGGCAAGCAGAAGGAGGCAAGGTAGATTAAGAACTGGGTAGAAGGAGGCAAGGAAAAAAGCAGCTTAGAATTGGAATAGCCTCATACTCTTTGCTGTACAATGAAGTCTTGAAAAACAACCTGCTGAGTGCCTGTTATTAAAGTGAAGCATCCCTCACCATCACCGATCTCTGCCCAGTTAGAGAACTTGATGTCAACTGTAGATGCTATCAAAGCCGCTTCACAGCAAGTTCTGATTAAAATTAGATATCCTGGCTCCAGATCTCACTGACTTCATTTTCCATTATGGCTCACTGGGGTAGTATTTCCTTCAAATACAACTGACATGCACTATGTTCATTTTCTAAATGAAAATGCTTAATTGAGTAAGTCATCTGCAGTTGAGTAACAGCTCACTGCATGAAGTGTTCCATGCCGCTCAGCTGCCATGGAACGCCACTCCACGGTTTTCTTGAATACCAAGGCACTGACTATAAAACTACCAAACGGCAGATATCTGGATGAGGCACAAGCACATCCTTGATGTCAGTAAAAGCAGCATCATAGCCCATCCCTGCATTGCTTGGCTTCACATCCTCTTTTGGCTACTTCAGAAGCATGGAAACTGATCAGAGGGAAAAAGCGGAGCCAAACATCACTTCCTCTGCATGAGATGTAGCTGTAAATTATGTTCAGAAGCGCACGGGCTGTTTTGCAATTGCTGTTCTTCTAAAGCAAAGTAACTGTCTCCCTTTCATTTCTCCTAAAACTTAAAAAAAAATATTTTCTATAATCAACTGTAGTTTTCACAGAACTACATGTAAAAGACAAATTTTTCACAGCAACAACTGAAAGATTTTTATTTCTGATGTTACAAAGACAGCAGCAGTATATACAAAGTGGCTGTTACCTTCAGCTAGCTCTCAGGACAACTGCAAAAATTCTCACCATCTTTTATAGTTAATGCAGTACCTAGGAAGATGCTCCAAGTACTGTGGGTGTAGGCAGCACAGCTGCTGGGAATTAAAGGACAGATCTACAAAGGATTCTGGGACTTGGACATACCAGTGAAGGGCCTTGGCATATTTTTAGAAGGGTCCAATGTTTACATATTTCTTAAAACATATATGAAATATCTCATAGAGCTTAACTTTCTTACCTAGGTTTCCTCCAAACAGTCAATTTTGCCTAGATTGCAGTACAAGGTTTTATGTTGCTGGGAATTAAAGGACAGATCTACAAAGGATTCTGGGACTTGGACATACCAGTGAAGGGCCTTGGCATATTTTTAGAAGGGTCCAATGTTTACATATTTCTTAAGACATTTATGAAATATCTCATAGAGCTTAACTTTCTTACCTAGGTTTCCTCCAAACAGTCAATTTTGCCTAGATTGCAGTACAAGGTTTTATGTACATAAAACCTTTTTAAATGTGTGTATATATATATGTAAAATAAAATATGTGGACAAAAAATTCCAAATTCATCACATCTTAAGATACCAGTTGCAGTTCTGGCTCTGCAGAAGCACTTCACTGCCAGCCTGTCAAAGACAGCGATTCACTGATGATTTTGTTTCTATTTAGCAACTAATATTCTTAAAATGTTTTAAAAATAGTATACAGGACATCTTACATCAAAGCGCAAATACTGTAGTATTTCCTGTCTGTTATTCTGAACAGATAAAAGAGATGAAAAGGACATAAAGAAGTTCAATGAAGGACCAGTTATCCTTTAGTTTGACAATACCCAGTACCCTCACCTAATGCACTGACGTCTAATTGAAATAGTGGGCGTTCAGTATCTACAACTTTGGATAATAATGCCTTTCTCAACTTTCTTAAGCAATGAAGATTCAGCCGAAGTAAGTGAATAGATTATCTTGTGGATTAAAACCCCTCAAATTTAAAATAAGAGAACATGGAGAAGTGTGATGATTTCATCCCCCCTGCCCCCCCCAAACGCTGTGTTCCTAGCGCCAGATTGACTTTGTTGCACTTCTAACAGCAGCACGCAAAAGAGGATGTCTCCATTTTCTTGAAACTTGGTCAAGCTAATTCCTGGATTTGATGTATAAACAGTAAAACTGAAATATTTCTACTGAATGTTCACATGTTTCCTAGTTACAGTAAATAGCAAGACAATCAATGAAGAGACTGAAGCGCACTTCCTTTGGAACACATATGGTCTTCTATCAAGGGGCCTCCCAACAGCAGGAGATGTTACTAACCATATGTGTTGCAATAATCAAACATGCCGGGCTTGAACTGAGAGTTCTGTGTAAATCAAAGGGACACTGTCAAGGCCAAGTAACCCAAACTGTAATAATCTTTAAAGAATAAAACTACTGTCCTCTTTAACTTCTGCAAACAAACAAAATTACCATCAGATTCACTATGAGAATAAAACATTTCAGTTGCTAAAAAAAAAGAAAAAAAAATAATCTCAGGTACAGAACTCAGACAGTACTCATCTTCACATGGGGATGTTCTGAAAAGCTACCGATTTACTGAAATGCATGAACACCCTGCTCTCTGATCACTCCAGAGTAGCATTCCTTTACCTGGGAACTTACTTTGGTGGGTCCTAGAAAGCAAGCAAAACTATGTACTAAGAAACAACTAAATTCAAGTTTAACAGCTCCAACAGTGTAGTATTAGCCCAAAACTCAGCTCAGATAACTCCTTGGTAAATTCTCAAGATCAGCAACGCTTCAAACAACTAATTTTAATTATCCCTACCCAGCGAAGGAATAGAGTTGACATTTTAGGGCTTTCAGGTGTACCTCAAAGTAGCTTCTGTAACACTAATGATCTCTTAACTGATGCTAATCCCAAATCTCCACACTGTATTTTTTTCCTCGGAATTAAATCCAAGAAGAGAGAGAATGAAAAAGATTCCTTCTTCTCCCACATGTATCATCTGATCAAATGCTCCCAAGCTGCAGGCATGCCTTCCACCAGGGAAGGAGACTCGTAGCCCCCTGGCCCCTCTTGGCAGGGAGGAGAGGTAAGAAGGATTTCGTCTGGGAGGTGCCATGAACGGGGCAGGGAGGAAGCTGGGTGGAGATGCCTATGACAGTGTAAGCAGCAGGGAGGGTTGGAGCAGGGCAGCACAGACTGCAGAGCTGAGGGAGCTGCACTGCCCCATTTCAGCTTCTCACAGCTTTCATCATCTCCCACCAGGGAACCAGGAGCCACGGAGCTGCAAGCTCCCTCCCCTCTTCCCGTTTGCCCTGCTGGCTGGAGCTCCCCAGTTGCTGCCCCAGCCCTCATCCCAACCTGGTCACAATCTCCACCCCTTTCCCAAAGGCTCTCTATCGCAGCAGGCCTCCCCAACTCCACGGCAGCACGTGTCCAGAAGGGGAACTATCACTTCTATTGGAAAATAAGGGCACCACAGGAAAGGTAGGGTGAAGCAGCACATTAAAAATAATTTGTGAATAAGGCATCCTAAACCATCTCTAAGTCAGACGTCCCATGAGTTCACAAACTGGACTCAGACTCTACTTTCTAATGACCCTCCATTATCTAGATATTCAATATTACCAGTTAGTCTAATCCATGTGTTGCCCAGCATTGGCACGTATGCTTTCACAACATCTAATTTAGCAAACAAACTAATGGACACCAGGAAATGAAGAGTCTGGTTAACACATCCAAACAACCACTGATCCATCCTCTGGAGCTGGCAGGGGCAGGGGGTGACACAAGAATACATCTTGTACTTCCTAGTTTTGGATTACTCCGATTCCTGCCTTGTACAGCCTAACAGCTTGGCTCACATGGAGAGCGTGAAGAGGACATCAAAGAAGACTGTTCTCAGCTTTCCACGCACATACGTAGAGCAGCTTCTAACCTCCACCCTCTGGAGCAACCCCTCTACAAATCTCGACTGACAAACAGCACGAGAAGGGGTTCAGATCTACAGAAGAGTAGACACGCCAGACTCTGACCCCTGACTCAACAGCATGAGACTAGCACAAGATACCTGTAAAAGGTAGAGCATGTGGCCAAGGAAAAGAACGTCAGTGTAGAGGCAGACAGCCTCTGCTCACATGACTAACATCTGCAAGGCTTGGGGCTATCCCCTGGTCTGTTCTGAGGGGAGAGCCTCAGCGATGTATAAATTTGGGGTAGAGGAGTAAATGCCCCAGATTTCCTTTCTTTCCATTGATCCACCCTGGGTTTTCTCTAGCAGAACTGGTAAAATACGTAACTTTAAAAGGTTACACTTCTACATCTGTTTTATGCCTTATGTTCTGCTAAAAATTAATTTACCTGCAAAAACAAAAAACTGTGCTTTTGCCCCAGAACAGAAGAAATGACACAGGCAAGTCTGTTGAGCGGTTTTTCAGGTTGGTTATTACTTTGTCAGAGAGAGACACCTGGTGGCTAGTCAGTCCTCGGCCACCGGCACCTCGCTCTGCCAGACAGCGTGCTTCACATCAGCGTTTGTACATCTCAGAGAAGAGAGGGAAAAACGCGTCCTGAAAGCAGAACTTGCCACCAAAACTAAGACCATGAAGAAAACAAGCAGAGGAGCCATCAGGGGTAGCTGGCACAGCTGACTACTGTGAGAAGCTCAGAAGGCATTTATATTTGCTCCCAGCAGATCATTGAGCTGAACTCTAGACCTGTTTCCTGCCATAAAAAAAAAAAAAAAAAAAAAAAAAAAATCACAAAATACTTCATTATTTTTTATTTTTAATGTGAAAATACTTTAAAATACAAACTCTGGATATCAGAGAAAACCCACAGAGTGGATAAAGGGAAGAACATTTAAAGTCGTCTTAGCCTTTTTCCTGAATTCGTATCTGTCTGTCTGTGCCGTATCGAGCATCCACATCCTCCAGCATAGCACCTCCTAGCACAGCATGCAACAGAGATAACTGTATTGGAAGCACCTCTTCAGACTTAAAGTCAGCCTTTCCGGGGAGAGGGATTTTTGCAATCATTCTACATCAATCCTCTATCATAAACCTTTAAAGAAGTGTTTTCTTTTTCCAGTAACAAAACTCAATGTTAATTAAAAGATGGAGAAACACAACAGCACCGATTCTTCCGCCTGTTACTCAATGTTGGTATCGTTCAAAACAAAGTATGAATCGCATAAGCTGTTAAACTGAGCCTAAAAAATGAAAACCTGCAGCATGAAATATTAAATCTAGATAGCTTTTGTAAAAAAATCGTGCATCCAACAGATTTTAAAAGCAAGCATATCGGTATGAATTCAGATTCTCATCATTATGTGTTCAGTGAAAACAAAATATTGCTGACTGTAACTAACTGAAGACTCACATGCAATTGAAGGTCGTTGAATTTTCTCTTCTTTTTGTAAATCCAATGGGTAGCGTTCTCAGGTCAATATTACACCTTCGAGCTTTGTTTCTCAAGCAATATAACTAGTAAAAAATAAAAACATTTTTTTTTTAAATCTGAATAATATATTCAAAACCTGAAGGTTAAACAATAAAGAGTAATGCTAACAGGAATTATGGGAAAATTGTAGAAAAGGACACATTTAATGAAGTACTTTCTTTGACTTTTTAAAAAAACATAACGAATGAAAAGGTTAATAAATTAAGCCCAGAAACTATCTGAAACGTTTTCAGGTGAAGTTTTTCCATGGTTAAAAAACAACATGCCAATGACCTCTTTATAGTGAAAGTTCTTTAACATACCATGAAAGCCACGGACAGCCATTGTGGGTGTAATACCACCCATGGAGCTCTTTTTCAGGCTACAACCCCGCTAGGAGAAGGGATGCACAAGCACCGTCTCAGCCACTCTGACGAATTCCAATTTGAAGGTAGCACTAAGGATATCATCCCGCAAGCCTGCCTAGTACCACACCCTAAAAACTGCCACCTATGTAGCATCTCACCATCTTCAGCACATGTTTTCAAGACATCACGGTGATGAGTACACACAGAGAGTATGACTTCAGCCTGAGAGAAAGCTGGACTCTTCCGAATTTACTTTGTCATCAACATGACTTCTCTCCAGCTGAGTTTAGTGCTATATCTAAGGATACCTTCACAAGCTTGGAAAACAACATGGCCCTGATGCCTTTCTGTGACACACCAATGAGTCAAAGTATTTTGGAGTGGGTTTTGTTTTTCGGGGTTTTTTTCCTCCCCTCGCCCCTTGATCTTGGTCTTCGCAGTTTATCGTCATGGGACTTTCAGGAAATGTCATACGTTTCTGTAATCTCATTAATACTTTACTGGAGTTGGAGGAGTTTCAACAGAAATCCCCTCTCACCCTTAGAAGGCTGGCTTTTACTTCATTGTTGTGTAGACTTATTCTTTGCAGAACTCTAGTTGCCTTCATTTGGCATATGGGGAAGTATGTAATAATTTTTAGGCAATTAATAAATCCGTTGTTTACCTGGGAATTTTGTACTTAAAAATTCAAAAAAGTTGTGGAGGTGGAAGGAAACATTCAGGCTTTCTTAACACACATCTATCATCAAACAGCAAGAGTGGCCATGCATCAATTTTAAGAATGTACGCCGTTAGAAATTTATTCTTCTAAACAATGGGATGTAGCCATCAATACTATTATTACACAAACCTAGAGACTTCTTTTGATTTCTGGCTCTAAAATTCAGGGTCATTCGTACCTTCGTAAGAGAGAGATCAGCTCTGAAATCTGGATTGGAACTGCCTCAGTGGGAATTCAAAGGTAGTCAACCCTATCTTCAACAGACCAAGTTGCTAATTTAAAACTTACAAGTTTTTTTGTTGTTGGACTATGCACAGTAGGATGTCGAGCAGCAGCATCAGCTGTCCTTCCTACATCTTCCAGGAAACGATAATCTGAAGGTAAAAAAAGAACGAGGAAAAATGTAGTGCTAACTTAGTAAAACCAATGAATTTCAGAAAGCACAAGGAATATTCTTACCACTCAAAAGGTTCAAGTCAGTAAATTCATTTACAGAGACAAATGCTGTTTTATCCCTGACTCCATTACAGCTCAGTGCAAGCTTATGCTTCTTTACACACAACAGACTGAAATGACAGAAAGAAAAACATTAACATGCCACGTTCAGCACACGAGTGGGGAAAAAACCCAAAACAGTTTAATTTGGATAATAGATACCTGCACGAATATTTCATGCATCGTGGACATCTGTACTTAGCTTCCTCTTCACTACATGTTTCACATCTGAAAGAAGTAAAAAGCACCTCTTAATAATACAGCATCTTTGTTCCTGACTGGCTTGGGAAGGTGCCTGCTCAACAACCAGGCGCTATGCCATCAATCGGCATTTTCAGGAAAAGTTATCTGAACCTTGAAAGAAGAAAGAAAAAATACAAATACCCTGGATTAGATAAGATGGCAGACAAAATAACACAAGCTATGGGGAATATCTCCAAACAAATACAGGGGTCTTACCTATACTAAACCACACTGCAGACGCTTGAAAGAAAGAAAAACACCCCATGCTTACTGCAGAGTTGGAAGCATAGCAAGGCTGTACCAGTTTATGCTTTATGGCCCGGTTGTATCAGTGCTCTTCTCCATTTACATCACCTGTAACCCGCATCGTACCACGCTGGCTTATAATACTCCCAGTTTTAGGCAGACGGAAAATAAATGTCGAGGATTCACACTAAAACCTGAACACTGCATCCCATTTTTTCAGTGAAACAGAAAAACCACAACAATACAGTCAGGAAAACTTCTGGCTGTTAGCAGTGCAAACCCCAAAGTCAGGGAACCTCTCAGGCACAACGTGTAAGCTTTACGAATATAGCTAACAAATATTATCTCATTAAAAGAAATTCCTCTACAAATATAATCTGCTTTTTAACTAGGCTATTACAACAGACATTTCTCTTATTCTTAGGAAAAAGTTATTGATATATTAACTGAAACAATCATTGCTTTTCATTTATTTTTAACTTGGACAAACGGGGAAGGGAAATAACCCTCCCCCCATCAGTAAAGTTTTCAAGAACGGCACAAACCCACCACTTTCAACGACTAGAGGAAAAATGTAAGCCTCAAAATACTGTTCCTCCTCTCCCCGCCACGCGCTCGCTGACAGCGGAGGCGTGAAGGACAAGCTCAGCAGTACCGTCTCCCGATGAGAAGGTGGCTCTGGGTACTGGCAGCACAAAGTATTGTAAGAACGGAAAAAAAGTGTTTCGTACACTGCAGAACAGAAACAGGAAATACTCTGAAGAAGGATTCCTCTTTTCTTTTTTTAACGTCCCCACAGTGCCCAATGCACGGCAGTCAGTCAGCTGCCGTTCTCAGAGAGAAAACTCTGCCACGCGTCCCCGGCGCGCAGACCCCAACGGACACGCAAAAGCAGACGCTGCTACCTAGGACGAAACTCACCCCACGCCCCGACCAGTCCCCTCGCTCAGGCGAAAACGGGACTGCCCCGTTACCCCGGAGCGGTAACGCCCATCGCAGTGAAGGCTGCTCCTCTCCAAACGCACAGAGGAGAAACGAGAAGGCGCGGGGGCTGCAGGGCAGAAGGCAGCGATGCCGTGCACCTCGGGCACCTCCGTT